GGGGGGGGGGGGGGGAATCGACCTGAGTCGGTCTCAAGTGGGAAGTATGTTCAGGTTTTAATAAACTAACATGGAAGACAGGGTGGATGCGTCGGAGGGTTTTAGGTAATTTCAGTTGGACTGCCACAGGGTTCACAATTCGTTCAATTGGGAAAGGTCCAACATACTTAGGTCCAAGCTTTTTTTACTTTTGTGTGGTCTGCAAATATCTGGTGGATAAAAAGACCTTGTCACCAACTTGATATGGTTTTTGTGGATTTCTCTTTTTATCTGCACATTTTTTATGGGCTTGATGAGCATCACCTAATGCTTTACGGGTAACGGGCCAGGTAAGCTGGAGCTGTGTTATCCATCCATCTAATGACTGAATGTTAGGTTTCTCCTGTGGAAGCTTGGGTATGGGTACAAAGTCTTGTCCCGAAGCCACTTTAAATGGAGTAAACACAGTACTATTATGTACTGAATTGTTATATGCCACTTCAGCAAATGGCAGTAGGTCAGCCCAATCACCTTGCTGATAATTTATATAACATCTAAGATACTGTTCCAACACTGAGTTAGTTCTCTCACTAGCCCCATTGGTTTGTGGGAGGTGAGCAGAGCTTAAGCCCTCGGTGGAGCCCAATAACTTAAGGAACTCCTTCCAAAAGTTTGAGGTAAATTGGACATCCCTGTCTGAGATTATGCATTCAGGAACCTGTACATATATAAAATAAACAGTTTATCCAACATTTTCACAGATGGGATTTTCACACAAGGTATGAAACGTACCTGTTTTGAAAACAAATGTGTTACTACCCAAATAACTGTATTTCCTCCACTTTCAGGTAATTCCACTATAAAATCGATAGAGATTTCCTTCCATGGAGCAGTTGGTCTAGCCACATTTTGTAGTAAGCCTGCTGGTTTACCAGGAGGCCCTTTGGCTGAGGCACAGATAGGACAGCTAGCCACATAAGTCTCAATGTCCTTTTTCAAGGTAGGCCACCAAAATTGCCTTTTAACCAAAAAAATTGCCTTTTAACCAAGTGTAAGGTCTTCATGAATCCAAAATGTCCAGCAGCTTTAGAGTCATGAGCTGGCTGTAATATTTGGTTTCTCAGCTTTGCTGGCACATATAATTTGGCCCCCACCCATGCCAATCCATCTCTAACCGTACAGTTATTTGAGTGAGCAAGGAACCAACCACCAAGTTTTAGAGCATCTTTTAATCGTGCACTTAAATCATTTGATAAATCAACTTCCTTCTTTTTCTGGGCTCTGGTAACCACTGGAGCCGCCAACTGTTTGGTTGGGACAATAGGCCGTACCACTTCTTGGTAGGCACTGTTATATTGAGGTAATCTAGATAAAGCATCCACCATGAAGTTCTTTCCCCCTGGATGTACTTCAATGAAAAATTAAAGCGTTTAAAGTACTGCGCCCAGCGAACTTGCTTGGGAGACAGCTTTCGGGGCGTTTTCAAAGCCTCCAAATTTTTATGATCTGTCCACACCTCAAATTGATGTTTTGCCCCTTCTAGGAAATGCCTCCAGGTTAACCGAGCCCAGCAAACTGCAAAAGCTATTTTTCCCCAGATGGCCCATCTTCTTTTGGTTTCAGTTAGTTTACGGGAAGTATATGCACACAGTTGCAAGAGTCCCCATCTTGTTTGCTTGTAGTAACACCACCCTGACTGATACGTCACTCACATCGGCTTGGATTACAAAAGGAGCGTCCATGTCTGGGTGCTCGAGTACTGGTTCAACAGCAAACAGTCGTTTCAGCTTCTCAAAAGCAGCTTGGCACTCCATGGACCACTCCAGTGGTTTACTAGGCTTCGTTTTCACCTCCCCTTTGGTTTCTAGGAGATTTGTGATAGGCATTGCAATTTTTGCAAAAGCAGGGATAAACTGATGGTAAAAATTAGCAAATCCCAAGAAACTTTGAAGTTATTTCCTGGTGCGGGGAGGGGCCCATTCCAAAACGGCACAAACTTTATCCAGATCCATTTCTATGCCATCATGTGATATGCTATAGCCTAAATAGTCAATTTTTTCCTGGTGGAATTCAAACTTGGACAACTTTGCGTACCGTTCAGCAGCTTGAAGTTTTTCCAGAACTGACCACA